TCGGAACGAAAGACAAAAAAAAAAAAAAAAAGAGAGAGAGAGAGAGACTATTAGAACTGATAAGAGAATTCAGCAATGATGCAGACTACAAACTCGACACACAAAAATCAGTAGCATGTTTATACATTCACAGTGATCTTGCTGAGAAAGAACTTAGAAGAAAAATCTCATTCACAATATGTACAAAAAATTAAATACTTTGGGATAAATTGATGTGAAGGACCTCCCCAGTGAAAATTACTAATGAAAGAATTGAAAGAACAGAAGACACAAAGACCTCCTACCTTCCTTCATGAACTAAAGAATTAATACTATCAAAATGTCCTTGCCGCCCAAAGCAATTTGCAGATTTAGTGTTCATTTCTATCAAAGTACCAATGACAGCCTTCACAGAATTAGGGGAAAAATCCTAAAATTTATGTGAAAATAAAAGGACCCTGAATATACAAAGCAATCTTGAACAATAAAAACAAAGCTAGAAGCATCACAAGACTATATTTGAAGATATACCACAGGCATATTATCACCAACACAGCACAACACTAGTATAAATACCCACGTAGACCAATGAAACAGAAAAGAGACACCAGATATTCAAGCTGCTACAACCAACATTTCTTTGACAAAGGTGTTAAAGCATTCCTTGGAGAAAGGACAGTCTCTTTAATAAATGATGTTGGAAAACTGGATTTCTACATGCAGGAGGAGTTTAAAAGTAGACCCCTGCCTTACATACTATATAAAAATCAACTCAAAATGGATCAATGATCTAAATGTAAGACCTGAAACTATGGAACTACTCAAAGAAAGCATAAGGGAAATACTCCAGGACATTGGCATAGGCAATAACTTTTTGGCTAAGACTCCCAAAAGCAAAAGTAATGAAAGCAGAACTGGACAAGTGAGCTGACGCCAAACTAAGAAGCTTCTATACAGCAAAGGGAACCACCAACAAAGTGAAGAGATAACCAACAGACCGGGAGGAAATATCTGTAAAGGATGCATCTGACAAAGGATTAATATTCAGGATATGTAGGAGCTTAAGGAACTCAACAACAAAACAGTTAGGAAATGGCAAAGGATTCAGAGACATTTTTCAGAGGATATGCAAATCACAGGCAAAGAGTTTCAGATGGTTAAATGTTTTAATATCACATTTCTTAAAACAAATGATAATCAAAAGAATATATCATTTCAAAAGGTCACATTTTTTCCAACACTTTTGTGTCTATTCTTTGATAATTCTATCAAGTATGTTTAGGTGGTGAAATTGAGGCACAGAGAAGGCCAAATTACCTCCCTGGATATGTCCAGCTAATGAGGCTCTTTTTGAGGTCAGGAAAACTGTTTTCACCTCAATCCATCTCTGTTCCAAGAGCTGAGAGTCTCGGGAGTTTGTAACTACTTCCTATTGAGCATCTGCTAAGCCTTATAGAACCCCAGAAAACCTGGGCCACTGGCGCAGAGTGCAGCAAGGCAAGCCCTGACACCAGGGTGGCAGAAGACAGTAGAAGTTTATTTTGCAAGGTGCAGAGCTGGGAGACAGGCAACTATTGCTGGAGTCCTGAACGCCTCAAGGGTTTGAGGGCTGCAAATTCTGGAGATTAAAATGAGGGTTGAGCAGTGACTGCTCAGCTCTTGTGCCGGTCTCTGGCTGGTCCACCGTGTTGTGGTCTTCCTTGGATTGGTCCGTGACAGGAGGCCAGTGTGGTCTTTGAAGGTGCTATGATGGCAAAGTTGGCATCCAGTCTGTTGGGGTCTACAGGGAGGTGGGCAGTGCTGTACGTGGTGAGCGTCTGCAGTTCCTGTGGAGTATCTCAAAACAGAGTCGGTGGGAGAATGTGAACTACTGAGGTGACGACTGAATTCTGAATCTTGTGGCCTGGCTGGATCCTGGTACCACTCCCTTACTTTACTGAGATACCCTTAGTAGGGAGTTTACTCATAATCATCAAAGTGATGTCAGAGGAACTGTGAGCTGAGAGAGAGAGACCGGGGCTTGGGGGCCTGGCTGTGGCCTGGCATCCAAACCATGAAACAGTGAGTGTCCTTGGGAAGGCACAATGGCAGGAAGTAGGGCTGCCTGAGGACAGAGACCACTTGAAGGAGACTTTAACGTCCAGTAAGCGAGTCAGGACTATCCTCCGGCCAGTGGGGAGCCATTTGAGGATTTTTAGTGAGAGTCCTATGTGTACAAATTTGCGTTTTATAAGCATCTATTTGGTAGTGGCAGAGAGAATGGATTTGAGAGGTGCTGGAATAAGGGGGGAGACAAAAATGATTCTCCTTGCTTTGGGCAGTGGACAAGGTAGAGTCATTCATTGCAGCAGAGAACAGTCTCAGGATAAAAAGCCTGCTTCAGTCTCTAGAGGAGCGATCGGCTTGATCAGAGCTGATTCTGTACAAGAAAAGTCAGTGCGTGCTGCGAAGTAACTGGGTAGGGCTTATGACGTTCACGATCATTACCTACGTCAGATTCATCCTGGGCTTTTTCAAAAAACTAAATTGAGTTATACAAGCAATAGTGGGTTTCATAGATTTGCCATTTTACATGAATTTTCTTATAGCAAGAAAGTTATATGAGATTTTAAAAATATGTACTTATAGAACCAGATTTGCAATTTTTCTAAGTACTGATAATTATTAAATATTTATAAAAATGAAATAATAATGGAATTACATAAAATATATTTTCAAATGGGTATGTCTATAATTAAGATAATGTTCCCTAATGAAGTATATTTGCTAAGCAATTCCTCCCCTATATGTATGATCTTTAGAAAATGTTACTGTTGGGGCCTGCGTTGTGACACAATGGGTAAGCTGCCACCTGTGATGCCGATGGCATCCCATACGGGTGCCGCCTTGAGTCCTGGCTGCTCTACTTCCCAGTCAGCTCCCTGCAAATGCACCTAGGAAAGCAGTGGAAGATGGCTCAGGTCCTCTGGCCCCTGCCACCCATGAGGGAGACCTGGATGTAGTTCTAGGCTCTTGGCTTTCGCCTGGCCCAGTCCTGGCTGTTGCAGCCATTTGGGAAGTAAACCACAGATTGAAGGTTCCTCCCTCTTTCTTCATCTGCCTTTCAGATTGTGGGGAGCAACTCGGACTAGACTGTTACTGGAATTAAGACTTATTCTATGCATCTGCTCTCCCACAATATGGCGCTGAGAAGGGAGTAACAGCTTCTACACAGCTGCCTCCAGTTCAACCAATAGACTGTGGGACCTGCTCCTGATTGGAGGAGAGCAGCGTACTCGGCGTGTGGGTAGCAGAGTTGGGATTGGTGGAAGAGGACTATAAAGGAGGAGAGAGACAACATGCACCAGGGAACATCTATCTGAAGGAACACCTGTGCAGCCCCCGAGAGAGCCGGCCGGCGGTGTGCCGCTCCCCCGCGGAAGTGGGGAAAGTGGCAGGGGGAACCGCCCTTCCACGGAGGTGGAAGGGACAGTAGCCAACCCGGGAAGAACCAGCAGCAAACCCGGGGAGGGCCGAGCAGACAAAAGAACAGCGCAGGGTCCTGTGTCGTTCCTCCACGAAGACGGGGAGCGACACAGATAAATAATTAAACCTTTAAAAAATTATATATAACATATACACTCAATGACACCATACATTCTGAATAGTCTATACACTGTTATGACCAAAGAAGAGAGTGAAAATTTCTAACTTTCTCATGAGAAAAATAAGGTAAGTGAAAATGTTTATTCTTGGGGCTGGTGCTGTGGCACAGTGGGTTAACACCCTGGCCTGAAGCTCGGGCATCCCATATGGGCGCTGGTTCGAGACCCAGCTGCTCCACTCTGATCCAGCTCACTGCTATGGCCTGGGAAAGCAGTAGAAGATGGCCCAAGTCCTTGGGCCCCTGCACTCACGTGGGAGACCCGGAGGAAGTTCCTAGCTCCTGGCTTTGGATCGGCGCAGCTCTGGCCATTGTGGCCATTTGGGGAGTGAACCAGCGGATGGAAGACCTCTCTGTCTCTGTCTCTCTCCCTGTCCCTCTCTCTCTCTCTGCCTCTCTTATCTGTGTAACTCTGACTTTCAAATAAAGAAATAAATCTTTTAAAAAAAATGTTTATTCTTGTTGACTTGCGCCTGAAAAAATACATTGTTTACAACATGTTCAGAGACAACATAGAACCACAAATTAAATACTGAATTCGTAAATTCATTACTGAAGATGAAACACTACAGACAACTCCTTACTTATAGGCAATGGGATAGTCAAGGTATCCGAGATGCACTGTATGTGAAGGGACTTCAAAAAGCTCATGGAGAAAGTGGAATTCATAGGCTTATTTTAGTGCAAAATAATTTTGAAATCCATGCATAGGTTTTAAAACACTACACATTATCCATGGACTGTGAAGATCTCCCCTTGAGGTCTAGCCTTGAGTCTCTGCTGGAGTCCTTGGCCCTGGAGGGTCTTCCAACTTTCTTTTTCTGTCTTCCAACTTTATACATTGCCACCTGACGTCAAAAGTGAGTTACATGAGCGACGGTGGCCATCCTGAGTGTACTGTTTTAAACGAATTTGCTTATGAGAGCACGTGTATCTCTCTCTAATACCCCCGAGGCTTCGGATGAGACAAAAAGGTGACAATTGCAGCCCTCTGTCCCCACGAGGTAAATCCGTCCTTAGATGCCTTAACGTTGAGGAATATAAAGGGGCCAGAGTGCGGCTCGGCGGCCGCCGCCGCCCCGCGAGCACCTTGCTACCCTTGGCTCTGCCTGCATTCCACGCTCGCGCAGCCGCCTCCATTTTGAAGCCCCGTATTGCTTGGAGAACAATGCAAATGCCACATTCTGCCTCCGCAGCTTATTCTTAGTCTCCTAAATATATATATAAAAATAACATTAATGTTTAAACGCTCCCACCCCACGCAACCAGCGGCTACTCCCGCCGCAGCGCCCGCCTCCGGGACGCGCATGCGCAGCCCCCACTGGGCGGAGCCCCGGAGTCCGGGGGGCGGTCCAGGGCGTGGCCTCCAGACCCCGCCCCGCGGAGCCTCGGCGTCCTGGGACGCGGGAGCCATGGCCGCCGTGGCGGGGGCCCAGGGAAGGCTGCGGCGGGCCGCGCGGGTGCTCGCGCACGTGTGCGGACTGACCCTGGCCATGAAAAGGTAACGCCGCCCGGGCCGCCCGCCCCGCGGCGGACCCCGCCCTTTTCCAGTCGGGTGTGTGGAGTCCTGTGTGCCGACCGGCCCTCAGACCAGCGCGCGGACGCGAGAAGTCTGGAAGTTTCCTTGGCCGCCTCTGGGCGGCGCGGGAGAGTTGGCCCGAGCTGGGCGGCGACAGGGGACGCTGTGGCCCCGGCGGTGAATCCGGGCTGGCTTTTCCTGTCAGAAGCGGGCGAATAGTCTCCCTGTGGAGGGTAGAGGGAGCGTCCGCCCCCCCCTTTCAAGAGAAACCCACGCAAGGCGACCTTTGGTTGAAGGTGACCTTGGAGACATCTGGGCGGTCGCGGCCGCTGGGGTCGTCAGGTTGGGCCAGAAATCTCCGTCCGGGGCGTCCAGCTGCGAAGGGCACCTGCGTAGCCCTTGGTCAGGGCGGTGCCAGGTGTGGGCGTCTCTGAGGGGGTGACAGCAGCAGCAGCAGTGCACTTTGTAGTCTTTATTGAGCACTTACTGTGTGCCGGGTGTGATTGTAAGGGCATTACTCGAGTCAGTATAAAGTACTCGGAAAGCCTTCCTGCGTTAAACTGAGAAGCAGGTGAAGTACCTGCTCTCATGAACTCCATTAAAAAAAAAAAAAGATTTATTTATTTGAAAGGCAGAGTTACAAGAGGGAGGGAGGGGCAGGGAGAGGTCTTCCATCCACTTGTTCCCTCCCCTGATGGCCATGAGGAAGCCAGAATCTTCTGGGGCCCCCATGTGGGTGGCAGGGGTCAAGGACTTGGACCATCCTCCCCTGCTTTCCCAGGCACGTTAGCAGGGAGCTGGATCAGAAATGGAGTAGCCGGGATTCGAACTGGCCATATAGGATGCCCGCACTGTAGGCAGCTTAAGCCACTACACTGCAGCACCAGCCCTTCAAGAGTTCCATTTTACAGATGCGAACACTGAACCGCAGAGTTCACTGACTTTTCTTGGATTATGTGACTGGCAACTGGTGGTTCTGAAGTCTCTCTTCGCAGTCAGCCTGCCACGAGGGCTTTACCAGCTGCCAACAGCTCACAGCTCCACCTTCTCTCAGGACTTGTCCTTGCTGGTGGGAACCGAGCCAAGAAATGCCTGGGAGGTTACACCTGGGATCCTCAGGGTTTGGTTCATAGCCAAAGATGGCTGCCCAGGGGATGCGTGGAGCCGACTTTCTCCACGTAGTGTGTCATTCACGCCCTCCCAGCTCCCTGTGGGATGAAGCCAGGGCTGGACCCATGTCTTGTCTTCCTCCCCTTCCTGGTCCTGCTGACTCCATCTCCTTTAAATCCTCTTGTCAGGTTCTGCTTCTGTGAAACCCCACCCAAGAACCCGCTGAATTATCCCGGGGTCCTGACGTTTTCCGAGTGTATTCTCTGTCCACTGGAGCTTCGTCTTTCTATGGAAAGACAGCCCACTGGTTTCAGCCGTGTATCAGATGACATCCTCTTTTGATGAGTACAATGAAATGCAGTTTAATGTGCATAAAGGAAAGGATCGAATGACTTTCTTGACATGTGTCTGACCCAGAAAACTCTTCCTACCAGGGATGCATGTAGCTAGAGTCAGTGACAGGTTATTTGATTATTGACCTCTTGCTTGATGAATTTGATTTTGAGGAGACATGTTAATACTGATTTTTAACAACCTTATGAAGTTATAAGTATAATTGACACACTTAAAGTACATGGTTTGATAAACACACGTACATGCCCACACCTATAATCTGTCACCACAGTCAAAATAATGAAAAGATTCATCATTCCTAGAAGTTCTTTGTGCCCCATTGCAACACGGCCCATCCTAGCCCCAGGCAGCCATTGCTCTTTTTGTTACAGAAACGGTAGTCAAGAAAGACCTTGGAGACCTAGAGGGTCAGTTGCCAAGTAGTTCCGGGTGCTCAAGCAAAATGGGGCAGACAGGGATTTCTGTGGGGTAGAACCAGGAGGGAAGTCAGAGCAACTGGGTTTCAGCTGCTGCCATGTTCACTGCCAAAGGGGAGGGATGCAGGAACTCTGTGATGACAGCCCTGCATCCGAGGCACGGACTCCGAAAGGTGTGGCGTCCAAGGAAACGTGGGAACTGGGGCATTCTGGGGTTTTGCTATAAGTTAAGAATGGTTTGAGGGAATGATGCCATCTTTGAACTGCACAACATAAATGAATACATTGGGGCAGGCATTTGGTCCAGCAGTTAAGACACACACCGGGACGCCCGCATCCCACATCAGAGTGCCTGTTTTCAAATCCTGGCTCCATTCAGTCCCAGCTTCTTACTAACGTGCACCCTGGGAAGCACAGTGATGGTGCAGGTGGTGGGTCTCTGCCACCCATAGGAGACCTGGATTGAGTTCCCAGCTCCTGGCTTCTGTCTGGTGTATTCTGTCTATTTTGCACATTTGGGGGATGAACCAGTGGATGGTTGTTCTCTCTGAGTCAATCATTCTCTCCCTCCCTGTTCTCTCTGAAATGAAAATAAGTAAAACATACAAACAAAACCACTACCAAAATCCAGAACTCCAGGATTGCCATGAAAAGGTACTCTCCTGGTGGACAAGGACAGCTAATTTCTGCCCTTCAAGTTCATCGCCCTCTTGGTTCTCTTGTTGGTATGCAAAACACACTTTCCCATTTTAACACTGGCTCAAGTTTGGTACCTTATATCCCTGTTCAGACATAGTTAAAATGTCTGAGGCCCTGCTGAGGGTTCTGGCAAAAGCAAAAAAGAGGTAACACAGAACCACATATCTAGCTAATCTGGCATTTAAAACTTAGTGTTCTCATCTTTGGTTTGTGGTTCTCCTCAGCTTCTGCCCTGTCTCCCATGCCTGAAGGTCTCTTTCTCCAACTCCCAAAGGCAGGCCAAGCCCAGTTCGTACTATTTCCCTAGCTCCTTTTTACTCTCATTCTGTCACTTCTTTCTACAGGATTTTTAGGGTACAGCATTCAGTCTGATGGCTAGCTTTATAATCTAGCCCTTAGTTTCAGTGGTTTAGACCATTGCTGTCTAATACAAATATAATGCATTATAAATGTGAGCCACACACAGAATTTTTTTTTTTTTTGACAGGCAGGGTTAGACAGTGAGAGAGACAGACAGAAAGGTCTTCCTTTTCCATTGGTTCACCCCCCAAGTGGCTGCTATGGCCAGCGTGTTGCAGCCGGCGCACCACGCTGATCTAAAGCCAGGAGCCAGGTGCTTCTCCTGGTCTCCCATGCAGGTGCAGGGCCCAAGCACCTGGGCCATCCTCCACTGCCTTCCCAGGCCACAGCAGAGAGCTGGACTGGAAGAGGAGCAACCGGGACAGAATCCAGCGCCCCAACCAGGACTAGAACCCGGGGTGCTGGCGCCGCAGGCGGAGGATTAGCCTAGTGAGCTGTGACGCTGGCCCCACACACATAATTTTAGATTTTCTAGTAACCACATTAAAAAAGAGGAGGGAGAAATAGGTGAAATTATTTTAATAATACATTTTTTAAAGATTTATTTATTTTACTTGAAAGTCACAGTTACAGAGAGAAAGGACAGGCAGAGAAGAGAAGGAGAGGTCTTCCATCTGCTGGTTCACTCCCCAGATAGCCGCAATGGCCAGAACTGTGCCGATCAGGAGCCAGGAGCCTTCTCCGGGTCTCCCATTTGGATGCAGGGGCCCAAGGACTGCTGCTTTCCAGGCCATAGCAGAGAGCTGGGTCAGAAGTGGAGCAGCCAGGTCTCGAACCAGCGCCCATATGGGATGCTGGCACCAGCTCTACCCGCTACGCCACAGCACTAGCCCCTTAATAATACATTTTCAATCTGGTATCTCAAAAATATGACCACTTCAGGTTACCTGTATGAAAATCACTAGTGAGATATTTTGCATTCTTTATTCATAGTGAGTCTTCAAAGTCCAGTCTTAGTTGATATTAAAAGCATATCTCAGTTTGTACTGGCCACTTTCCTGTATTGGACAGTGCAAGTCTAGATACAGCATCATGGCCTGGATCCAAAGTTAACTAAGGGTTCTGGTAGGGAAGAAAGGAAGAGCATGAGTCTTATCTTGGACATACTGAGTTTGGAGTACTGGATAAGAATTCTTGTGAGCCCAAAAAATAGGCCAGTAGGAATGCGGCTCTTGAGCAGCAAGAGAGTATCTTCCAACTGCCCTTGTCAGAACAACATGTGGCACCTGCTGTGGTTTGGCTCTAGTTTGTCTCCAAAAGGTTCTTTCCTGTGCTGGAAGCTTGGTCCCCAATGTGGTGCGGTGTGAGGTGGTGGAACCTTTAAGAGGCGGGGCTGTAGTGAGGTCATGAAGTCAAGAGAGCCCCACCTCAGGAGGGTGTTAGTGTTGTCTCCCAGGAAAGGGTCAGGGCTCCTGGGACTGGATCCTCTAGGACCTCCCCCAGATCCTCCTTCTTGTATACGTCGTCGCCTGCTTCTCTGCCTCGCTCCCACGGCTGTGATACCATGAGGCCCTCACTACAGTCAGGCTGATGCTAGCAGCATATGCTTGAACCTATTCAAGCTAAAGAAACCTGTTTGCTTTATAATGTCCTCAGCTTCAGGTATTTCTGTTACAGCAGCAGAAAGTGGACTAAGATGACTACCTGGACAATAAATTGCCAATTTTACCTTGGTTTTCAAATTCATTCTGTAGACTTTTCCCCCAGAATCGAAATTCTGTGTTAATCTATGTATGTTCTATTCTAGCAGATTTAATCTCCATGTTAGCTTGTTTTTTTGCATAATTTCTCCATCAGGGATGTTTTTCTCTATGTTTTTTCATTTATATCATCTTCTTCAGGTACATTGAAAAGAGTCGAGCAGCAGAGTGGGCACGATTTTACCTGAGTATGAAGACTTGTTCCACTAATGAATTATTGTATAGCAGCAGCAGCTTTTCTAAATATAACTTGGTTAGTATTTTTTATTTGTATTCTAATAATAGCTAATTTTAAGAGTAACAAGCATTTAAAAAATTAATCCAATTATACTTAGATACCACTTTTTTTTTTAACTTTTAATTTAATGAATATAAATTTCCAAAGTACAGCTTATGGATTACAATGGCTTCCCCCCATAACGTCCCTCCCACCTGCAGCCCTCCTCTTTCCCACTCCCTCTCCCCTTCCATTCACATCAAGATTCATTTCCGGCCAGCGCCGTGGCTCACTAGGCTAATCCTCCACCTTGCGGCGCCGGCACACCAGGTTCTAGTCCCAGTCGGGGCGCCAGATTCTGTCCTGGTTGCCCCTCTTCCAGGCCAGCTCTCTGCTGTGGCCAGGGAGTGCAGTGGAGGATGGCCCAAGTGCTTGGGCCCTGCACCCCATGGGAGACCAGGAGAAGCACCTGGCTCCTGGCTTCGGATCAGCACGGTGTGCCGGCCGCAGCGTGCCAGCCATGGCGGCCATTGGAGGGTGAACCAACGGCAAAAGGAAGGCCTTTCTGTCTCTCTCTCTCACTGTCTATAACTCTGCCTGTCAAAAAAAAAAAAAGATTCATTTTCAATTCTCTTTATATACAGAAGATCAGTTTAGTATATATTAAGTAAAGATTTCAACAGTTTGCACCCACATAGCAACACAAAGTGAAAAATACTGTTTGAGTACTAGTTATAGCATTAAATCACAATGTACAGCACATTAAGGACAGAGATCCTACATGAGGCGTAAGTGCACAGTGACTCCTGTTGTTGACTTAACAAATTGACACTCTTGTTTATGGCATCAGTAATCACCCTAGGCTCTTGTCATGAGTTGCCATAGCTATGGAAGCCTTTTGAGTTCACCGACTCTTATCATATTTAGACAAGGTCATAGTCAAAGTGGAAGTTCTCTCCTCCCTTCAGAGAAAGGTACCTCCTTCTTTGATGACCTTAGATACCACTTTTGAACAAAGTTTTAAATGTGTTTCATGGATATAGGGAAATAGACATTTTTATATGTTAATCATGGGAATGTAATTCCCTACCAGGATTTGGAAAACAACTTGACATTGTGCGTTAAAGCTCAATATGTGCAAACTTTTACTTGTTTTTCATTTCTTTGAAAGGCAGATTGACAGAGAAAGAGGGAGAGACAGATCTCTATCTTCCATCTGCTGGTTCATTCCTCTAAAAGTTGCAACAGCCTGGGCTAGGCCAGGCTGAAGCCACGAGCCAGGAATTCTATCTGGGTCTCCCTTATGGGTGGCAGGAGCCCAAGTAATTGGGCCATTTTCTTTTTAAATTTATTTTTATTTATTTGAAAGGCAGAGTTACAGAGAGAGGAGAGAGAAAGAGACGGGGCGCGGGGGAGAGATCTTGTGTTTGTTGGTTCACTCCCCACATGGTCATAATGGCTAGGGCTGGGCCAGGTCTTCTTCCAGGTCTCCCAGTTTTGTAAGTGGATGGCAGGGGTCCAAGCACTCAGGCCATCTTCCGCTGCTTTCCCAGGTGCATTAAAAGGGAGCTGGATCAGAAGTGGAGCATCTGGGTTTCGAATTGGTGCCCTTATGGGATGTCAGCGTTGCAGTCAGAGGCTTAAACTGCTCCACTACAACGTAGACCCATTTGGGCCATTGTCTGTTGCCTTTTTAGGCACATTAGCAGGGAACTGGATTGGAAGTGGAGCAGCTTGACTTGAACCACCACTGTATGTATGATGCAGGTATTGCACACACAGGTTTAACCTCCTGTACTACCAAATGCTGTCCTCTTTGTGTATGATTTTTTTTAAAAGAAAATGATTTACATTTCAACAACTATTTACTGGACACCTATCTTTGCTGGGTACTGCAAGGTGTGTCAATTAACCAAATATAAATAATCCCTGCTATGGTTTGAATATTTGTCACCCTGAACTCACATAAGCACTTAGTCCCTGAAGCTTTGTGTTAATGGTACTAAGAGGCTGGTGCTGCGGCTCACTAGGCTAATCCTCCACCTGCGGCACCAGTACTCTGGGTTCTAGTCCTGGTTGGGGCACCGGATTCTGTCCCGGTTGTTCCTCTTCCAGGCCAGCTCTCTGCTGTGGCCCGGCAAGGCAGTGGAGGATGGCCCAAGTCCTTGGGCCCTGCACCCACATGGGAGACCAGGAGGAAGCACCTGGCTCCTGGCTTTGGATCGGCGCAGCACCTGCTGTAACGGCCATTTGAGGGATGAACCAACGGAAGGAGGACCTTTCTCACTGTCTCTCTCTCACTAAGTCTGCCTGTCCCGCGCAACAATCACCACTAACCATCAGAAGGAAAGAAAGAAAAAGAAAAAAAAGGTACTAAGAGAATGGACACCTAATTCAGTTATCTGTTTGGAGATGGGATCTTTGAGAAGTGATGAGATTGGATTAGGTCATTGGGGTGGGGCTACTATGACTGAATTCTGGTAGCTTTATAAGGAGAGAGAGAGAGACCGATTCTGCATATAGACTCCCACCGTGGTGAGAGGCAATCAAGGAGGGTCCTTGCCAAAGCCTCTGCCGTACTGTTTGAGCTTTGAACCTCCAGCAGTGTGGGACAATAAAGACCTTTTTGCTTTTGGGGGAAAAGAAAGTAGCCTATCTCAGGTATTTCATTATAGTAACTAATGCTGACCAATACAGGACCTGTCCTTATATAGCTTACAGATTAGAAAAGAAGACAGTTAACCAATCACTGAGTGGCTTTGTAGTAGCATAAACTGTACTTGCAGCACAGAAGAAGGATTTGGGATCCAGATTTGGGGAGGCAGTGAAGGCTTCTTGGAGGAAGTGATATTTAAACTGTGTGACTGTGTTAAAGGTATTAATGTGTGTCATGAAGTATGATGGAGTAATTAAAAATGATGATGTCAGGGCTAGCACTGTGGTGTAGCAGGTAAAGCCACCGCCCGCAGTGCCGGCATCCCATAAGGGGGCCGGTTTGAGTCCGGGCTGCTCCACTTCCAATCCAGCTCTCTGCTATAGCCTGGGAAAGCAGTAGAAGATGGCCCAGGTCCTTGGGCCCCTGTACCCGCGTGGGAGACCTGGAAGAAATTCCTAGCTCCTGACTTCGGATCGGCACAGCTCCGGCCGTTGCGGCCATCTGGGGAGTGAACCAGTGGATGGAACACTCTCTTTCTCTCTCTCTCTCTCTCTCTCTCTCTCTCTCTCTCAACCAGTGGATGGAACACTCTCTTTCTCTCTCTCTCTCTCTCTCTCTCTGCCTCTGCCTCTCTGTAATGTAACTCTGCCTTTCAAATACATAAATAAATCTTAAAAAAAATGATGTCTATATGGGAAAAAGTCAATTGAAGAAAAATTCAGGCTACAAAAAAGAATAGTATAATTTTATATTTATAAAATTATGTTTCTTTGTGTATACACATGTGTATATATGTGTATGCATATGAATATAAGTTCATACACACCAATTGTGTATGTACATCTTGTATATATACACTTAAAATGTAAATGTACTAGGAGACTTTTGAAAGTGCCTGGAAAATTGAATTGAAAGATAAAAATCTGCAGTTTTAAACTTTGTTTCTCAACATAAGCGCCAACAAATTGAAGACACTTTTGTAAGTGATGATACCAGCTGTTTAGTCTGCCCCTAAAGAACTGAGGGTTGTGGGGATTTTACCGTGTCAATGCATCAGCTTTTATATTATCAGCTGAAGGAAAATGAGTACCCTCTGAAGATTAGATCAGGAAACAAAAGGAAGTGAGGCGTGATCAGAACTGGTGGGTGCCTAGTAATTTCTCACTGGAGAGCTCTCAACACCTCCCTTTGTTTTGGAGAGGAGAGGGGTGGGAGGGAGAAAAAGAGATAATATCCCCTTCTGCTAGCTCACTCTAGCTGCCCACAGTGGCTGGGGCCAGCCCAGGCTGAAGCCAAGAGCCAGAAACTCAATGCAGGTCTTCCACATGGGTGGCAGGAACCCGGCTGCTTTAACCAGCACTTGCACACATACGGGATGTGGACACTTTTACCAACATCTTAACTGCTAGGCAAATGCTCCAGATTTCCCTTGTTTGATGAGAGCAACGAATTGAAGTGTTGTGGTGGCGGAGAAGGACTTGCTGGTGAAGCTTTCCTAGGCATTTTGCTGCTAAAGCTCCTGCTAACAGGGAGCTGGATCAGAAGTGGAGCATCAAGACCCAAACGGGCGGAATGCTGGCATTGCAGGAGGCAGTGTTACCTGCTGAGCCACAACACCCAGCCTCTTTCTAAAATTTTAGGAGTAGTTTTTGTGGGGGCAAGTAAGATGCGTTCAATGTAAATATACTTTGTTTTATAGAGCCAAGATTTTGAAAAGCTGAAAACATTGTTGTCTCTTCAGCCTAAGCAAAGAAGCCAAGAAAATCTCAGAGAGGTAAAAAAAAAAAATTAAAGATTTCTTTTCTGATTTGTGCTTACACCAATGTTGTCCAATTGTGCTTTTTTCAATCATTTTAAGCAAATACAGGTTAACATTATAAAACATGCCACTTTTTTTCTTATGTTTCCTGCTTCCTTAATCCTTGCCTTAATTTTAGGTTTTTTGAAACAAAGTGGGATAAAATAAAGCTGGGATTTTGTATCTTTATATTTTGTTTTGATCTAGTGAAACAATTCTTTTCTTTCATATGTTTCATACACTTGAAAGGAACGGCCGAGAGCCAAGAGCGCCATAAGAATGGCCTTAATAAAACAGTCCTGGGAAATGGGGAGTAAACTAAGTTCACAGAGAAGGCAGATAGCTACTACCCAGAGATAAGGGCTACTACCCAGAGATAAGGGCGACAGAACATCCTGGTATGCACCTAAGCCCCCTCCCCTGTGCTTGTTCAAGCTTAACAAAGAAACCGCGAGGCGCGTAGGGCACGTAGCCACCCCTTTCTGCTCTTCAAGGACCCCCTCCCCTTGTCCAAGCTTAGACACGTAGGGCACGTAGCCCCCTGTTTCTCCTCCTCCTCGACGACCTCCTCCCCTTGTAGTTGCCCAATAAACTTACGCCACCCTATAGTATGTTAATTTTGTGGTTTTGCCCTTTAAAAACTGTGTAAAATGATTGTTCGGGGCTCCTCTCTCTTGCTCGCTGCTTGCAGCAGCAGAGGGCCCATTTGCGCAAATGAAATAAAACTGCCTCCTGCCTTTTGCATCGTCTGGTCTGGAGTCTGTGTTTCTGGGGTCGTCACAAAAGGACACTGCTTTTGGGGTCCTACACACTGAATAATGAAATATTAGTCCTTGAGTACCTACTATGTGTTATATTTGTTTGAATTATGTGTTTGAGATAAATAATTGATTTTCAAATATGTCAATTTATTTAAAACCGATTGAGGTTTTTTTTTGTGATTTTTAACTTACTAATCTTTGAATAGACTTCAGTGATATAGAAGCAAATTTTTGTCGATAAGAGATTGGGTGGACCTATTCTGCTTCTTTTAAAATTTTAATATGTTTAGGTAAATTGGATTTATATTTGTTGATTTTTAGTCTCTAAGGGATGCAATATATTTTGTAAACCAGCTATAAAGAGAGGTATTGATTTTTAAACATTTTAAGATAGAGAGTGTTTCAGAGTGTCCTAAAGAATGAAGTGCTGTATTACAAGCAGTCGTTACCTTTCGCGTCAGTCGTTTCTCAAAGTCAGTGTTTCTGGGCTTGCCTTGGTCCACCCGTGCCATTCCAGCCCAGAGCACCCAGCACACTGAGCAGCGTCGACCTGGATGCTCTTGTAGCTGTGAGCTGACATTCCTGTTTCAGTACAGGCAGTCTGGAACTCGCAGTAGATTTACAGCTTGGAAAAGGTCGTATAAGTAAACATGATCTAAATTAAATTTATCCTTCACATAGAATTATTTTAAGCTGAGAATTGTGTCCATAAAAGTGTGAAAATAGACATCTATTTACTCAACTCTTTATGAATCATATGTGTGCTCTGAAGTAACCAGCTTTCTTAAGTATGTGTAAATCAGTCAGGATGGAATTAAGTTACCAAGCTGCTGTAACTTAGAGCCAGAGATGACCTCAGAAGGCCTCCAGGCTAGGAGTGAGTGCTGGGAATGAGGACTCTGGTGCTGGAGTAGGAGGGGAGCTGGGGTGTAGGTGGGAGTGAGGCTTTCAGAGTCAAGAACTGAGAGTAGGGGATTGCTGTACTTTGGATGTGGTCCAAGTGTCTCCCCAAAGAGTGCATGTGTTGGAAGCTTGGGCCCTGAAGGGCTGATATTGAGAGGTGGTGGGTATTCAGGAGATGGGGTCCTGTGGGAAGTAATGAAGTCCCTACGAGCATCGCTCCTGGAGGGTCTTAGTGCTGGTCTTGCAGCTCAAGTTAATTCTTGTGAAATGAGTTGTTATAACAGAGCTTTTTGTCTGGCCCTGTCATCTTTGCCTTCTACACAAGGACAGATCCACTTTCTACCACGATGTGACACAGTTAATGGTGGTCCTTACCAAAGGCTGAACTGATGGGGCCACCTGATATTGGACTTGCAGGCTCCAAAACCGTGGGATAAGCAAACTTCTTTTCTTTATTCATTCCCCAGCCTCAGCCATAGCAACAGAAAACAGATGAATAGTGTCTTACACAGTAGCCTGTCAGTCCCTAATCAGAACTGCCTCATGAACCCTATGGTTGGAAAGGTTTTGCCTGTAAACAAAGGTCATTCATTAGTAGTTACTTTGTCTTCCCACTTCTAAAAATTAAACGTCTATCTTACCATCAATTACCACTTTTGATCAGCAAAATAATCCGTCTTCCATGCTGAGTTGACATGATTCCAGATAAAGCACATAAAATGTGCATGTTCTTCTGGCCAACGTCAAGCAACGACAAGGTGACAGGTTGGAAATCTTTATTCTGTATGCTGGGGAGCAGATGCTTAGCTGACTGGTTAAGATGTCTGGATTGAACATCAGAGTGCCTGGGTTCAATCCCCAGCTCCAGCTCAAGACTGCAGCTCCTCACCAAGGACGACTCTGGGAGGCAGCAGTCATGGCTCAAAAAATTGGGTTCCTGCTGTCCACTTGGGAGACCTGAATTGCATTCCCAGCTCTCAGCTTTGGTCCTGGCCACTGCAGATAGTTTGAGAAGTGAATCTGTAAATTGGAATTTTCTCTCTATTTTTATTTAATGATTTGTTTTAATTATTTATTTATTTGAAAGGTAGGGTTACAGAGAGAGGGAGAGGGAGAGAGAGGGAAGGAGAGGGAGAGAGAGGGAGATCTTAAATTTACTTTATCACTCTCCAAATGACTACAACAACTGGGGCTGGGCCAGGCCAGCGCCAGAAGCTTGGAACTCCGTCCAGGTCTCCCAAGTGGGTGACAGGGCCCAAGCTCTTGGGCCATCTTACATTGCTTTTCCAGGCTCGTTAGGAGGGAGCTGGAGCATCTGGGACTCAAACTGGTGCTCATATGGAATGCTGGTGTTGCAAGCAGCAGCTTAACCTGCTGTACACTATGCCAGCCCCTCTCTGTCACTTAAATAAATTTGAAAAGATAACTTAAAAAAAAAGACACTGACAGGGTTTGGTAGTTTATATGTAATCAGGTAGATAGGAGTAATTTTCATTTCAAGGAATAAAATTACTATAAACCAGAGAATTTCCTGTATATTGTATGTTTCCTAAAGGTGGGTACTTAATGCTACAAGCATTTTGAATAAGGAGAAAGCACAGAGATGAACATGACTACAACCTTTATGCTTTTTCATTTTTCTGTAAAGTGCCAATTTCCACCAGTTTCCACTTGCTTTGTCTCACATACGCTGTTGCCGACATCCAAACCCTCCACCAGTGCCAAATGATGTCTGAGATTCACAGGAAGGAGCAGGGATTGAACTGGAGGCTGATTCACCCTGGTCCACTCCTGGGCCTGCAGTTGGGCATGAAGACAGGGCCACCTCACAAATCAACAATGGGACAGATTCCTAGTCCTTTTCCTGGTAGATTTTAGTTTGGTAAACTTGGACATTCCAAATGTACAAGTGAGTGGTAGTGATTAGTGCAGAATTGTTTTTATTTTTAGCTTCAGTCTCCAATGATTGAGATCCTTCCATTTTTTTAAAGATTTATTTTATTTTTATTTGAAAGGTAGAGTTACAGAGAAGCAAAAACAGAGAGGGAGAAAAGAGAGAGAGAGAGAGAGAGAGAAAGAGAATGTCTTCGATCTGCTGGTTCACTCCCCAGATAGCCTCAATGGCCGGAGCTGGACTGATCTGAAGCCAGGAGCCAGGAGCTTCCTCCACGTCTCCCACGCTGGTGCAGGAGCCCAAGTGCTTAGGCCACCTTCTACTGCTTTCCCAGGCATAGCAGAGAGCTGGATCAGAAGTGGAGCGGCCAGGACCCGAAGCGGTGCCCATATGGGATGCCGACACTGCAGGTGGTGGCATTACCTGCCACACCACAGCACCGGCCCCAAGAAAGACCCTTCCATTTAAGTATTACATGTAGCCAACTACTATGTTCAGCTGATGCTCAATTTTTAAAAACTTCTTATAATTTTGGATTTGTAGAAAAGTTGCAAAGATAGTTCGGAGTTCTTGTAGACCTTTAACCCACCATCCTTTAATGTAAACATCTCTCATAGCCATGGTACAAGATAAAAAATAAAAAACTGAGATCTGCTCAACAAATCCTACTGACTGAACTATAGACTACTCAGTGTTTCCACTGATGCCTTTTATCAGGTCTAGAATCCAAGTCAGGAAGCAGCACGGCCTTCGGTTTTCTTGGCTGCTTGGTCTTCAGACCATGACAGTTCTGTCTTTCCTCATCCTTCCTTATCCTGACTCTAGAAGAATGGCGGTTAGATGTTTGTAGGATGTCCTTCAGTTTGGTGTTAATGGCAATTTCTCGTGGTTGTATGACTAGACTGGGTGCTGGGTACGTCATATCAGTGTGTGTTATGATGGGCGATGTCGGCCTCTGTCCCTTGACAAAGGTGCTGCCTGCCGTTTTGTCCATTGCAGTTACCAGTGAGTGGCTGAGTCCAATTCACGGGAGTTAAATCCCATCCAGGGGAGGTCAGCCTCACCTCCTGGAGGCAGGGATTAAGGATTTGTAACACATGTGAAAACCACTAAGTAAGTATTTGAGGAGAAACGCACTGAGGCAGTGTGAATACGCCATTTCTCGTTAAAGTGTTACTCAGTAATTTTAGCATCCATCAGTGAGTCTTGTCTGTAGCAGTTATAACTGTGGTGCTTTAACGGTGATGTTCAGTTTTCCACATTTTTCTCCATGTATTAATTGGAATTCTTTCATTAGGAAGAATTCTGTCTCCCTCTCTCTCTCCCTGTCTCCCTTTCTCCTTCCCATTGTGTATGTACTCATGGGTATTTGCTGACTTATGGATAGTTATTTAGTTCTTTTGGTTATAATTCATTGTTATTATTGGTGATTGTATTACTCATATTATTCCTGCCCTGGCTCTTGGAAGCCCTCAGGTATTTGGTCGTTGTTGGTCTTCAGAGCTAACTCATACTCTGGGACAGCAGAATGCTGCTCCAGGGTCATCTTGTATTTTCATGGTCCAGCCCAAGAGTCAAGTATTTCTTTAAAAAACTTGGCTCCTTCTATCACAGAACAGTATTTAGAAACCAAAATCTGGCCTCTAATATTCCTCCTTGCAACTAAGGATGCCTTGCTTCTAGGTCCTCTCTGCACATGGAGCCAGCAAACGGCCATGTGTCTACCAGCCTACATATCTGTATTTACTTCTGTATGTCCACTTGGATGCATAGTAAAATAACCTGATTCATACAGATATCTCCAACTCAAGTCCATTGCCACAGGGTTTATTATAACATTTACCATTGCTTGTTTGTAATTTATTTCTCCTATAGTTACAAACCTGATTGTCATTACCTACAGTATATTTATTAACTTATTTGTTCAGTCCTGGTATGTATGTAAAGTAGTTTTAGAATTGTCAAGCTGGGGTGAGATGCATGTTTACCAACTAGAGTACCTTGTTCTGTCTTTAACCTTGCATTATCAGAACCCTATTGTACAGAGATATTTAGGACAGGTCCTCCCCTTCCTTCAGTGTGGTATGTCAGATATTTATTAGTGTAGTTGGATTAATTTGTCATATTCTATATTCCACCTTGATCTCCCATGATACTCACCCCTCCGTAAAAATTTGATTATTGTAAAAGCTGCTCTTTGTGTTGTACAGTTCTGAGTCTTGATAAAATATAGAGGGTCATGTATCTACCATTGTAGTTATATACACAACCACTTCAGTGCCTCTGAAATTCCTTGGCAGTGCTGCCCTCATTTTCTGGCCTGCTAGGTAATTATCTACTACATTGGTAACTAGATTTAGAAAACTTAAAGTTTTAGAATTTCTAAACCCTTTAGTAAAAGTTTCTACATACTGTGAACATGTGTTTTAAAAAGTTTTCTTAAAAATTTTTTGGTAAAATATGTATAATGTAACATGCCATTTAGCCATTTTTAAGTGCATTTTGGTGGGGTTAGTTGCATACACACTACTGTGCAACTATCCTATTTCCAAATCTGTCACCCCATATAGGTACTCTGACATTAAGTAATAACTCCCATCCTCCTCTCCCCCAGGGCAGGTTACCTGCTGGTAACCTGTAATCTGTATTCTCTCTCTGAGCTTGGCTATTCTAGATATTTCATGTAAGAGGGATGTTATAATATTTTTTCCTTTTGTGACTGATTGACTTCACTCAACACAGTGTTTTCAAGGTTCATACATGTGGTGGCATGTCCCATAACTTTTATTCTTTTTAAAAAATTACATTTTTTGATAGGCAGGTTGAGGGGATGGAGGGAGGGAGAGACGACTCTCCAAATGTCTACAATAGCCAGGGACTTGCTGGAGCCAGAGACAGGAGCCAGAACTTCAATCCAGGTATCCTATGTGGGTGGCAGATACCCGGATGCTTGAGCCATCACCTGCTGCTCCCCAGGATCTGCATTGAAAGGAGCTGAAATTGGGAGCTGGAGCTGGGGAGCAAATCCAGGGAATCTGGTATGGGATGCAGGCCTGTTAACCAGCACCTTAACTGCCACCAGATGTCCATATCTTTATCGTTTGTGTAGCTCCTGTCATCTTTTGTTTACTGGTTACTATAGGACTTGCATAAAACATCTTATATTCTGGATTTGATGATGTATTTACCTCTACCAGTGAATTTTAGACTTTTATGATAAAGATTTACTAATTTTTTCATCTACTTGAAAGGCAGATCAACAGTAAGAGGGAGATAGAGAGAGAGAATCTCTCATCTTCTGGTTCATTCCACAAATACCTGCAACAGCCAGGCTGGAGTCAGGATCCCAGGTCACCATCTGGCTCTGGGTCCCCAGAGGCAGACACCTCGTCAGGCCAGCCCTAAAGAGAGGCACACCAGTGCTTGGGATTGCGGATGGAGCAGCCCTGCAGTAGCTTGGTGCTGCTCAGGGTGGGCGTAGCACAGTGGTGGCTGAGCCTGAGCAGCGGAGGGACCTACTTGGCACAGAGCAGGACAGGGGTTCTGGTCCAGGGTGGTGCAGAGCGGCAGCAGCACAGACCACAGAGGAGTGAGGGCAGCGTTAGCTCCTTCCCTGGGGGTGGCTCAGCCTGTGGACTCTGGGGGCTCCTTGGCTGGGCTCGGAGCCTGTGAGGACTGATCCCCTGGTTGATCCCCACTGTGGCGATGGGGTGGTGAAGGCAAGGCGTTTCCTTCCCTCTGCCAGGTGGCTGTCCTGGGTCCTGTGCCCCATGGGGGTTCTGCTACTGCTTTGCTATTTTCTGGCTTTTTGTTTTGGTTGAAATGTGGTTGTTTATTCATCATTTTGTATTTTTGTGTTTCTGAAGAATTCCTTACCAACTTCTTCATGGAGGTCGGGGGCCTCATGTCACGGAAGTTCATGAATGCAGGGAGGACCCTCTCCTCACTGTATCTCATGGCTCCTTCCCTTCCACAAAGGAGGTTTTGCTCTACTAGGATTATGCTGCCAAATTCTCCTGAATCCATTTACTAAATGCTTTACTTCCAAGCATCCACATGTGAAAAATGGCTAGTTTTTGGAGAACACATAAAAGTGATTCCTGTTCTGGTTATCAGAGGAATTGAAGGAATCCGAGCTAATAGTGAGTATCATAATCATTCCCCTCCAGCCCTTCTGTAGGCTATCATTTATTTATCTTCTTTCTTTTTTTAAAGATTCAACTCTGCCTAAAGAAGAATAGGTCATTTCGCAGTTTGCCAAATGAAGTACAGCTCCAGCTTTGCCAGACCGCGATCTATCAAGAGTAAGTGACACAAAAATATTCCATTTGGGTCTTGGCAGACCCCCGAGAAAGGCAGTGGCAGATTGTGAATAGATTTTTAAAAACTGCAAAGATAAAATACATGTTATAAATTGAATATTAACCAAAATAAATATGCAGTAGTTTGGAGTTTATGCTTTGAGCTCTGTAATATAATGGTGAGTCTTCAAACTGACCTGAGGGAAGCTAGAACTGAAAACAGGATGAAGAACCCACTCATTTTTTTAGGGTAAGGAAAAAATGCAAAATGTGTTGGATGTAAAGTACCTTGAATTTTATAATAAAGGCCTGCAGTTGACATTGTAATTTGAAGTTGCCCAAAATATTTTGAAAACACTCTAATTTTTTTTAGTTCTTCATAGAATAACCTCTACAATCTCAATGTAGAATGTAAGTGAAGCAAAAACTAAAAATCTGCCTTTCCCAGTCTTATTTCCTAGAAATAATGGTTTAGATTCTGCCAGATAGCCACATCTTCATATTTTGATATGCTATTTAGGAATGTGTAGGGAAAGATAGGACATGGGTGTCAGTTCTGGTACATGTTGGCAAAGATCCCACAACTCTTTGCTCAGATGTGGTCCAGATTTATGTGATAGTTTGTCCAATGTCTTCACTAGAGCTGTTGCTAGAAGTTTAGAAACAAGTTCACTACCCTTTCCAAAGATTTTATAAGCTATTTAATACCTATAGTAAATATAACATATTAAAAATATAAATATAGTATAGTAAAAGTAATCATCCCTTTAAAATTTTTTTATTTATTTGAGGGACAGATTTAGGGGAAGGGAGGAACAGAACTGGAAAGACAAAGAGAGAGCACGTGTGAACGTGTTCCCCCAATCTGGTGGTTCACTCTTCAGTTGCCCTCAATAGCACTCTAATGGGGCTGAAACCAGGAGTTGGGAACTCTATCCAGGTCTCCCATGTGGGTAGCAGGAACCCAACTACTTGAGCTGCCCTGTAAAATCAGAATCAAAATGGAGTGAGTGTGGCTAAAAGCTAATTGCAGATCTCTTGCTTCTGCACATATTAGCTTTGCTTGCTAACGGCTAAGGGTGGATCTTGTGAAACTATGTGGGCCCAAATTCCCAGGAACTAGGTTGATCGAAATGTGTTCTTCACAGTTATCTTACAACCGTATCTTGGATCTGTTATTGGGTTTGTTATTGTTAACTGTTATCTTACAACCATATTCTGGTTTTCCTCTTTATTGTTCACTGCATACCAGGGGTCCGGTTCGAAATTGTGAGCCCTAGTGGACAGAATACTATAAAAAGCTGTGTAACCTGCTGTTGGGGGCTTCACGCTGATAAGGAGTGTTGGTCCCGATTGGTGGATGGTCCCGATCGGTTACGTTGCCTCTCATTTGTCTCTCATTTTCAATAAAACACATGTGTGACTGTCACTAGTTTTTGTAACATTTTGTTTTAGCTGACAAGTGGATGCAACAATCCTGGGGTCCACATTACCAGGAAGCTGGAGTCCGGAGCCTGAGCTGGGTATTGCTTGAACCCAATCACTCTGATATGGACACATGCATTCCTAATTGGCAGCTTGACTGCTAGGCCAAACATCTGCCCTATGTGCTGCTTTTTAAATCAATCAGTAGATTCTATTGTCTGCAACCCAGAGTTGTCTGTGACCCATTATGTATGTGATTCTTCCTTGGGAAAGGTTTAATAGTGTAGTGTTAACATCAACTCTCTCTCTCTCTCTCTCTTTTTTTTTAATTCTATAGGGACATCTCACAGGAGATGGGGTTAGCATGCAGGACTTTTTATAAAAGATTTATTTATTTATTTGAAAGAGTTACAGAGAAAGAGAGAGAGAGAGAGAAATGGAAAGACAGAGAGAGATCTTCCATCCACTAGTTCACTCCCCAGAAAGCTGCAATGGTGGGGACTGGGCCAGGCCAAAGCCAGAAGACAAGAGCTTCTTCCAAGTCTCTCATATGGGTTGCAGGAACTCACACACTTGTGCCATTTTCTACTGTTTTTCCCAGACCATTAGCATGGAGATGGGTCAGAAGTGGTCCCAGGTTTTGATTTGGCACCCATATGGGATGCCGACAATGCAGGTGGCAGCTTAACCCCCTATGCCACAACGCTGACCCCAAGTCTTATTTTAAAAATCATGAATACTTAGAAATTTTAGTGGAGAGTTATTCATAATAAATAGCAGTTTGTTCAGTGAAAAATGACATTAATATTCAAATTTATATTTTCAAATGAAGAATAAAAATTAAAAATGAATCAATATCTTTATAAGTAATTAATAATATTCATAGGCTATTTTAGAGTCCAATATAAAATTGGTATATAAAGCGATATGTATAATTATGTAGAAACTTTCATTTCTGGATGTCAGAGTACTATATTTTTCTTTTTCTATTTTTAAAAGAATTATTTATTTGAAAGGCAGAAATAGAGACAGAGAAGGAGATAGAGAGAGAATGAGGGAGAGAGAAATTTTTATCCATTGGTTCACTGCCCAAAGGCTGCAATAGTCCAGGTTGGGCCAGCCCCAAGCCAGGAGCCAGGAGTTTCATCTAGGTCTCCTATGTGGGTGCAGGGGCCCAAGCACTTGGGCCATCTCCTGCTGTTTTCCCAGGCATGTTAGCAGGGAGCTGGATCAGAACAGCCAGGACTCAACTGGTGCCCATATGGGATGCTGGCATTTCAGGTGGAGGCTTAACCTTCTACTGGCTTCCTCTTTTTCTATTTTTAAAAATATTCTGATTTTTTTAAAAAGATTTATTTTATTTATTTGAAAGACAGAGTTACAGAGGTAGAGACAGAGAAAGGTCTTACATCTGCTGGTTCACTCCCCAAAGGGCTGCCATGGCCGGAGCTGCACTGATTCAAAGCCAGGAGCCTGGAGTCTCTTCCAGGTCTACCACATGGGTGCAGGGGCCCATGGACTTGGGCCATTTTCCACTGCTTTCCCAGGCCATAGCAGGGAGCTGGATCAGAAGAGGAGCAGCCGGGACTCAACCACCACCCATATGGGATGCTGGCACCCTGGGCCAGGGCTTTTACACACTGCACCACAGCACTGGCCCCAAAATATTCTGATTTCTTTATTTGTTGTATTGGAGCAGTTGATTCTAATAGCTTAACAAGAAAAAAATTCTTAAGGAAGATGGTTTTCCATTCCTAAGAGCTTCAAATGCTCCAGAAGTATAAAAATTAAGTGTTTAAGCGTGAGATACATATTTAATATTGGCATTCCTTCACGTCATTCAAGTTGGTTGTTGAATCATTCTGGTGTTAGAGTATAAAAGAGGAGTGTAGAGCACAGGTCCATGTGAATATTTAATGGATTATGGTAAAGGTGTTGTTCTTAAATTTTAATGCTGCAGAAGAAATGAGCAGTCCTGGAATCCTTGTGTCAAAGAGATACAGAGGAGGCTGATGATCCGGTTAGTATAATGGGTTTCTGGCAGCCAAGTGATGCACTTCAGAATCTGGCTGAGAATGACTGGCCTGCATCCACATGTTCACAGGATGAAGGAAAGAAAACAGAACGTGGGATCTTCCTGCCTTTTCTGTGATGCTTTGAATCCACTGAGATCCAACCAGATCTCTTCTGTAGCAGCACTTGTCATCCATATCATAGCTCTTCTCTCTGACGTTCTTCATGTGCCTTCTCCTCCTTCCTTCTCATCACATGTTTATTGGCCTCATTCGCATGACTCTGCAGTGATCGATGGACCTTCTCCTGGCTTTTGTTTGTGGTTATCTTGAGGGTGTTTCTGTGATGTGGTGATTACTTCAACAATTTTAATATTTTTCCCATCTGCAGAGTTCAAGGTATAACATTTCAAAACTGTTCTACATTACTACAAACAGTGGAAAGTCACAAATTTTCCTTTCTCTAATATTTTTTTAAATTTTATTTAAGGTATGCAGATTTCATTTATTTCATATATACAGATTTAGGAATACAATGATACTCTACCCCACTCCCTCTCATGCTCCCAACCTTCCTCTTCCTTCCTCTCCTAATATCTCTCAATTTTTTTTATGACAGGCAGAGTTAGACAGTAAGAGAGAGAGACAGAGAGAAAGGTCTTCCTTCCGTTGGTTCACCCCCCCAAATGGCCGCTATGGCCAGCGCGCTGCGCCGATCCAAAGCCAGGAGCCAGGTGCTTCTTCCTGGTCTCCCATGAGGGTGCAGGGCCCAAGCACTTTGGCCATCCTCCACTGCCTCTCCAGGCCACAGCAGAGAGCTGGACTGGAAGAGGAACAACTGGGACAGAATCTGGCACCCCGACCAGGATTAGAACCCTGGGTGCCGGCATCGCAGGCGGAGGATTAGCCTAGCGAGCCACGGCACCGGCCAATATCTCTCAATTTTTACAATGATCTACTTTCAGTTTACTCTATACTCATAAGATTAACCATACACTAAGTAAAGAGTTAAACAAATAATAAAAATAAGGGGAAAAAAAAAACACTGTTCAGGCTGTAACAATCATTGGAGCTCAAAATGTCAGTTTCACTCCTATGCATTACACTTTTGGTACTCTACTAGTTACCACAAATCAGGGAAAAAATATGGTATTTGTCTTTTGGAGACTGTCTTATTTCACTGAGTGTAACAGTTTCCAGTTGCATCCATTTTGTTGCAAACGACAGTATTTCATTCTTTTTTACAGCTTAGTGGTATTCTTTTTTAATTTAAAGATTTATTTATTTAATTATTATTTGAAATGCAGAGTTACAGAGAGGGAGAGAGAGAGAGAGAGAGAGAGAGGTCTTTCATCTGCTGGTTCACTCCCAAAATGGCTGCGATGTCCAGAGCTGGGCTGATGTGAAGCAGCCAGGAGCCTCCTCCAGGTATCCCATGTAGGTGCAGGGGCCCAAGGACTTGGGCCATCTTCTACTGCTTCCCCAGGCCATAGCAGAGAGCTGGATCATAAGTGGAGCATCTGGGACTAGAACCGGATAGAAGATGAAGTAGCTGGGACTTGAACT